GAACACTAATTATAACACACACATATATATATTATAAATAAACCAATAATATAGATATCAATGACTTTATTTTGTCTTCAGAACACTAAGATACCAAGAGCACCACTTAGACATTGACAGTAATTTCCTGTTATTATGACCTCCATTATGAAACTGTGAACGGTTGAAATATTATAAACATTCCTTCTACAGATACTTCAAAAAATAGACAACATATAGAACTATAAATAAGGTTCATTAAAAAAAAACATGTGTTAGAAGTTTATCCTTGGGTATCTACCTCACTATGTCTCTTATATGCACACATTTTCTTTCTATTAACAAAATTAGAATATCAGATATATTCATAACAAAACTGATAATAGAAAATATGTAACAAACTCTAAATCTTGCATCTTGCCTAAACACCTGAAAAATCACAGAACTGTCAGTATCAAAGCACCTTTAATGTTTTGGTACCTAGCTTGTGCACATTATACCCAAAAGCTTTTTGCATGTAGTATAAACATGAATGCAAACCATAAACATGCCAATACAATGCTGAATATAATATTTGTTTTTCATTCACTTCCAATAAGTACAAGTGTCATACACCTACATAATCTCTGAACGATTATATATATCTACAATTAAAAGTTAAATGTTAAAAAAATAGTATAACAAAACTATCTACTTCCATATTTATTCATTGTACTATCCATGTGATTCCAAGACTTCATATTTTCTGCGTTGAAATGTAATACCGGGGAACTAGCAAGGGCATTATCTGTAAATATTTGAGCATAAATCAATGTTCCTTTGATGGATATGGATCTTTCTTGCGTCAACGGACCTTGGAGGAAGATTGGCGGACTGATCCATGGGTGGTTCAGCTGGAATTTGAATGTTTTAGTCAGAATAATTAGAATATTACTGCAGTGGCTATTCAGTACAAGCTTGACTTCACGAAGGGGAATGTGGTTTCATATTTTTAAAGGTCTGTTTATTTCTTTAGATGCAGTTTTGATAAGGTAGGCATGTTCAGCAGCATTCTCATCCAAAGTCAACAATATCAATGAACATTCCTGATTAAACTTGAGGGTACTTAATGATATTAAAACATCTATCAACTTCTATCTATCGAATTTATTCTTTTTGCTCCTTAATACGAACTAACCTTCATAGACAAGTTATGAATGAGAATGTGAGCGTATGCATTCTCATCCATCCCTTTTCTACATTTGTCAACATGGACGAGGTTCATTTTACTAACCTTCACGTAAAGTAAAAGCGGAATTCATTTCATCCATTTGAATTCCTTCGCTAAGTTGCCACCTTTCTCCAGCATCCACGTATGAAATTTCTCTTTCATATCGTCATCAAAATAACTCTTCCAGCCTCCAGATTTCCCTTGGGGTAAAAGTATTCATGAAATGCAAATCTTAAGGAAAATAAGAACAAATATAACGTCATGGTAATAATGATAACGATATATGATAATAATCAGTTAGCGTGAATCTTAAAGAACCGTAAAGAACGTGAAGCATAAAAAAGAAAGAAAGCGGTGTGTAGAGCATAATAAAGTACAAGAAACAAGGTAAAATAAACATGTGAAATAACTGTCGACTCTAAAAGTAAAAATGTACCTTATCAAAATAATTCTAACAAGAAGGAATGTTATCGAGACTTAAATCTGAAATAGTAACAAAAGCGCATCAGGAAAGAAAGTAATCTACTAAAAAGGAAAGAAAGAAATCTACTAAAAGGCAAAACCAGCGTCATGTTATTTTATAGCATAAGTCTCGAAACAAGAAACATTGCCCTTATTTAGCTTAACACGTCCGTAGGAGAGGACATAATAAAATAATAATAAAAAACATAAAGGTAATGAAAAAAAGTAAAAGGAAGTCTACCCTTTTTCTTTCCGAACCAATACTTTACCATAGTGTTATATGGCCTTTGATGCCTAGCACATTTATTTTCAGACATTAACCATTAAACATTACCCTTCCTCACGAATCCCCCTTCCTTCAAGTCCAGGAGGCCCGTGGAAGCGTCTGCGACCGCATTGACTGCGGGGTTGTTCTTCATGGAGTCAAAATGCAGATGGTTTGCCAGTTTGTTTGTTTCTTCCTGTGACACTTCTTTGCCTGAGACAGAATTACCTTATCAGTCTAGCATCATATAGCAAATAAAAAGGTAGAACTCTGAAGATCAAAATCAACTTTATGCACTCTAATGTATATTACGTACGGGCATTTCTGAAAGATAATGATTAGCATCTGCAAAAGTTTCACAGCCTTGTGCACGCAACTGACCCGTCAAATGCAAAACAACGCATCACCTCACCAAGGAAGCCAGCGACTTTTCTGATGACAGCAGGTAAGTCTTCCTTCAGCTGATCGTACGTCAAGATGAGGAGATTTGAGTGACTGCGTCTTTCCCAGGCCTCTCTCAGGTGCTCCCAGAAGGGGGACCACATAACTGAAGCAAAGAGATTAGCCGAGTGGGAAATATATCAAAATGACTCATTTCAATGTCTGTATACATTACAATGTTACAAAATATTATTTATTCTCCTTCAAACAATAAACAAATAGATGATCATGATAGACGAAATCCCGTAGAAATTCAAATTATTATCCTAAAAGCGTGTATTTACCTTGTTCTTTAAGAAAATAGTCGAAGAACGCCTTGAAATCTCCCTGAAAACCGTGCGTGATCCACATCCGGTGGTGATGGTAATACGAGACGACAACATCTCGTGGATCCCTTGCTACGTATATTACCTGAAGAAGATTACTTATGTTATTATACTCATTCCTACGGATTCGGAATACTGGAATGTATGCTGGGAATTGGCATACTTTATATGGAGTATAAAGGGTTTCAGTTCTACTACTGGGGAATCACAATGATAAATATTGCATGCCACGATCACCTCATGAACTTCAATTTTCGTGGCTTTTTTCGACCAGCG